CTCATCATCAATATCAAGCACAAGCAAACCATTTCGAGATAAACTTTTCTCCAGCTTGATGACCCTGCCACCTGAACCTTAACAAAAACCCAGCTCTAATCACTTATCTGTAGTTCAGTGATATTTTTTCACCGCAGCCTAAAAAGTTGTTTCCAAGCAGCACATGCCACCTTCAGGTCTTAGATTAGTGTAATAGCCCCTTTCTGAATTCTCACCTTATTCTAGCTCATTTTTATCTGCAGTTCAACATTCATATATTAAATCTATTCCAGACACTCTTTCTTAGCCTGGCAGCACCTTTTGAATCTATGGTTTACTCTGAATTATATCCATATCCCATGCACTGCTTTACACCAGCACTTCCTTACCTCACTTCATCTGTCAGCACCTTGCATGAATTAAAAAACGCATCTGAGCATTCTAAGATCTGCTGATGCAGCCTCAACCTTTCCACTAAAATTAGCACTTTTTGACCCACCACCTAAAAGTCATATAGAAAATTAATAAACTTATCTAGATTATTTTCTAACTTAAAAGAACTGTGTTTTATTATGGAGGGATAAGGGAAATTAAACTCTCTTTTATTTGAGAGGCAGCATCCTACAGAACACTGACATATTGCTCTGCCACTTTCAAACAGGAACATCATTTCAACCTGCTCCATTCTGCTGCTTTTCTTGAAATCAAATAAAATTATTCCAGTAAGAGAGGGAGCATATGCTATCACAGTGCATCTGAAAATAGTGTGTGCATTGGCCAGCACTGTGACAGCTGAAATGCAGTAGAGGTGTTTCTTTTGAAGACATTTGCCAAGGAACAAGTCTTAAAGCCTTTCCTTGATTTCCTGAAAGATACTTATAATTGCATCAGCAGGCATACTGCTCCTAAAGTTTGCAGTCACAGGCTGGCCTGACTTTCGGAACTATCCAACAGCTTACCATAGTTCTGAGTGCAAGTGCCTATACTTATTAATTGTAGTCAGTCCTGGAAATGCACAGGATGAATTTTCTTCCCAGTAATTCCCCTTCTTCTCCTGCAGTATCCCTGGGGTATAGATGTGTACATTGATATGTATTGTCACTTCTTGCTCAGTTTGAGGGTGGCCCCTCTTATTCCCATACCAAACTCTAATTCTCTATATATTTGAAGTGGGACAAGCTGAGCCTCTAGTAACCAAAACATGATTAATAATGATGTGGTTTCATCATGGTTCAATTCTAATATAAAAAATATCCTACATTTGGACTTACTTTATAGATTAGGCAAGAATATTACAGATTTACATGACTCCATGCCTATTAGGGAAGTTTTGTACTATGCCATCTTAGAATCTGCCACTTTGGATGGTTATAAAATGCATATATTATAATTTTTTAAAATGCTGAGTATACATTTCACCCAAAATATAAATTCATTATCATATCTGGTATGAAAATATCTAGATAGTTGCAGAATAAACAAAACATAAAATGAAACCTGAATTAAAGCAAAACTGTCTTGTGGACTAATACATATCTTTTTATTATGAAAGGAGAAAAAAAGGTTGACATGATGGTGTTTTAAAATCAGAAACACTGACACTGCATTATAAATTATTCTCTCTCTCTTTGTACTTTATATTCATATAGTCTTAAGCGTTTGTGATTTCTCACCTCCAGGCATCCTTAAGTATGCTTGAGAACCAGAATAAATGCAAATTCAGAAGCCTTCTTGAACTTTAAGATGAAGGCCACTATGAATTTACTAGAAAATTCCATTAAATTCCTCATGCACATTCTCTACTGTCATTTCACCACATTTATGATAAGAATGTGTAACTGCCTGCTTTGAGTAACTCTTCTACCTGCTATCTACTGGCTTGCCTGTCTCTGTTAATAGTGCTTTGGATTTCAGAGGATAATACAGTCTGGAATGAAACTATCTCAGGTTTAAAAAAATTATTCTCAGATATTAATTTTAAATATGAAGTAGAAATATCTGTGTTTAGCTAAAAATGATTAATGGGATTGGATTTAATGTGCCAAATTAACATATTACAGTGATTTTATAAGCTGTGAATCTTCCTTCCAGAACACCTTGTTTCTATTTCATGATAAAAACATTCCCTCTTTCATTTATCTGGATGTAAACACTATGTGAAGATAAATTACATGCCACAAGTTTCCACATACCATCACACCCCTCACTTTCTGATACAGAAAGCTCTCTTACAACTAAATTAACAGAAAGAGCTTAACATGTTAATAAAATAAAGCAGGAACTTGGTTTTATGGGATTATGCTGAGCAGTATAATGAACTAGAGGATCCCAAATACTTTGTCATGCATTTCATACTCAACAAGATAACCAAACAATCGTTTTCAAAAAAGGAAATCTACTGTTTGTTAATTAGAGTAACCATTTTAAAGCACTTACTTGATTTACAGTCACAAAACCCTAATAAAACCAGTATGGTTTAACATGAGTTAAACATAATAACCTCTGATTTCAGAGGTTAGTATGAACTAAGGGATATAGATAAGCATCCAGTGGGATCTTCTAAATATCTAACCATCTGTGTTTTATACCTGTTAATATTTTGTGTCCATGTAGGGCAGGAAAGGAGGGAAAAAGATTAGTAGGTCAGTTATATCTCAAAAATGTCACCCTCTCTCAGCATAATTATATTAGCTAAAATAAAAGAATACAACTTGAATGCAGCAATATATGTGACCTAAAATAGAAAAGTAAATTAATCCCCGCAATTAATTACACACAATCTAGATGTGTGCAAAGGATCAGGATACATGACATGATACAAGTATCTTATCACATCACACACTGTGTGGTCTAAGAAGCCAGCACAGGTATTAGTCCTTTGACCTTATTCCCTAACATGAATTTTTTTCAGGGCAAAGTAAATATAAATCCTAAAGACACTGGAAAATAACAGCTGAAGGTTACACAGGTAACACTTGAACTACACACTCAAGCATTGTATTTTAAAATTTAAAATAACTCAGTCAACCTGATTAGATTATGCTCCATCATGTGCATAAACCCAGAACATCTAACAGATATTTTTGACTTAAAAATGCTGTCTCTAATGATTTGACACCGATGTTTCATAAGGCTTCTTGGTTGCCAACAATCACATCCATCTGTTGTGTTGGCAGCATGCTCAATCACAAGGTGTGCTGGATCTCTTCATTTTAGGCACCATTGCCAAAGAAATACAAAAACCTTTGAACTGAGTGCGAATGAATTCAGAAAGAACCAGTTAAAAGCTATCTGAATGGGACAACAAACTTTGGGCAGAGATAAAAAACAGAGGAAAGAATTTAATAAATCTAACAATGATCATATCATTGCTTGAAGAAGTGGGCAAACATTGAAAAGAGTCATTACTATCCAACAGTCATGCTAAATGATACTTCCCAAGAGACACATATTGGAAATAACAGCACTATCTGCTATTTCTTCCACAGAGCTTAAAGACCACTTCTTGACTTCTCTCTCATAGATGTGCATATATAACTATACATACATATAATATGAATACACATGTGTGTACTGAACATATACATATGTATAGCATATATAAATATTATAGACAAATATATATTAACAAGATGTGCATTAAGTATACATACACAGATAAATTTTACTGACAAGCCCTCTGTGGTTCATTACACCTATAAGCAAAATCTACTTGCTATAAAGTCTTCTGTTTATTCCCAGGTGGAGGGAGGTAGTCAGTCAATGCTTCTACATAGCAAAACACATTTTCCTGCACAGTTAAGAGGGAAAAAAGCCACACAAAACAGTGTGGTTAATCCATTAAAAGAAGTTCTGTATGTTCTAGAAAAATTCTGCAGTTTCAAACTTTCTTCCTTTTTGAAGGAGAATTAGGAAGAGGTCTTCACTTGGGCAACAGTTTTTCCAGCCATCATTTATTTCCATGCTAGCCACCAGTATATTGTTTCAAAAGTATTTAAGCAGGGAAATCTCACTGGAATTTCTGGTTGTTTTTTTTTCTTTGCAACTATCAAGAGATCCTTAAATCAATTTATCAGCTATAAAATCTGGTATCAGCACATGAAGTAACTTTCAGATAAATGATTTCCCTTTATTCCACTACACAAATTCAGCCCTGTTACTCCTCAAGACCTCAGTAAAACAGTCTATGACAGATAATTTTGAAAAGAAGTTCCTAAATTTTCATTTCCTTTTTATTTCTTCCTCTGTACAGTCTGCCCAAAAAAGACTAAATTCATAGGAACAAAGCTCAGTATTTTAACATTCACTTCCAGATACTTGGGTTTTGCTTTTCTAGAACTGTGGTGACTATGCATATCAGGAGAGCAGAGGAGCAGTTTAGAACCCCTACATTTGGTTCAGCTGTCGCCAAGAGCTGAGCCCTGTGGGAAGAATCCTGCTCTGTCGGCAGCATTTCTCTCTCAGCTGTTTGGCCACGGGCTGCATCGAGGAGCATCCTCACTGCCAGCCAGTTACAGTCTCTAGTGAGAATTGATCTGATTTTGGCAAGAATGGGCTTTACACCTTTGCCAAATGTGACCAGAATAGATGAAGACAGTCAGGTCCCTACCCAGTCAATGCCTGAAGTGCCACTCAGTAGTAAATAACTGCAAACAGAGCAGCAGTGGGATATTCAGATACAAGGTTGTCAAGGAGCAGGAGGTTTTTCAGCAATCAAAAGTGCTTCATGATATTGTTTGATGAAACAACTACAACATATAGCATTAGATGTCACAAAGTGACAGCAAAATGTGAGAATGCTGATCAAACCAAAAAAAAATAAAGGTCCGTACTAGAATGTAATATTTTAGCTGAAGTAGTGAAACAGTAATAACTATTTCATTTTTAATGCTATTTTTGTAGGAGTAATTCTTTGAGGTTTCAATCAATAACTGCTACTTTGTAATTTCTACTTATTTGAGGGGTGTGCCACAGAATCTTCACACAAGAAGCTCAATGTATGAACACCTCAGTTTACTCACCACAGAACAGCTCCATCTATAATTCTGCTGGCTTGTTGATCGCCATCTTTGTGACCTTCAAATTATATGGCTCTCTTCTTAGTCTGGAGGAAGATAAAACAATTCACCTTTTGTAAACACATTCGTGAATTTTGCACACAAAAATACAAATACAGTCTGCAAGTACTTTAAGAAACAATACAGTGACTCAAAATAAAATTCAGAGCCTGACTCCATCACTTTGACTACTGAAGTAGTGTTTTCCAGTAACAAGATTGGTTTACAAATATTTTACATTAATGCCAGTATGAAATTATGTCAGTGTATGGCTGCACAGTAAGAATCTGTAACTCAGAAAACTTAACTATGTTCTTTTGTGGTGTGATAGGGAGCAATGAGCATTGATAGTAACTGAGTGACATCCAATTTCCTCAGATCTTAGACCTTTCACCTGGTCACATGCAGGAACACCAAGTTCTTTTCATGTTTTATTTTCTTAAAAATTGATTTATTTCCTTAAATATGTAAGATTAGTCTTCTACAAACATTTATATAAATTTTAATTATCAAGTTGAATTCATTTATCAGATTTTTATAATAATGAAAAATGGTAAATACATATATAAAAAATATAATAATTTGTAAACTGAGATTTTTTTATTTTATTTTATTTTAGCTGCTTTCACTTGTGGGAGATGATCTGAATCACAGATTGGCAGTTATATCCAAAGAATTTCATGTGGAAAAACTGATAAACTTGAAACTGGTAGTTGAACAGCTCTAAGGAGGATAATGCTTTTGGCTTCAGATCTTAAAACAGTCAACATTACAGTACAGGTTAAAAGTATTATAATATGCACTAGTAGATTTTCAAGGCTTTCATCACAGAAATGGGAAAGAAAGTCAGTCAGAGGATTACATACCACAGTTAATTATTTGCCTGTGTAAAATTGTAGCCTAAATTAGCTAAACAGAATAAAATACCTTTATGACCTCTCCTGGAGTCTTCTACTGATGACACAATATTTTGTATTTTAACAGTTAGGAAGTCAGCATTTACCATACAGAACAGACTTTTAAATACGCTTACACTGAGATAAAAGATAAAATAACTTAAAGGCCTAGTTCTCTTCTACATTATATATCTGCTTAGCTCCATAGGCAATTCATCAATTGATTGATCAGGTTCAAGATGATTTCAAGTGTTCAGATGGGCAGACAACACAAGAGTCAGGAGTATGACATAGTGTATGTCAGACAAATAAATCTACCAAAGCTTGGCATTTTTATAAGACTCTCCTGAAGACAATCATAATGAAATACATCCAGTGCTTCTGAAGGGTCCAGATTTTTGCAACACCCATGCTAACTCCAAGCCTCTGTACTCTTTTTGTCTCAGGAATATAGATGCTGCCCACCACTCCAGCAAGCTAGTACAAGGTATGCCTAAGCAAAGACAGGTCAGAACAAAAATGATAACTTCTTTGTTATTACATGAACATGAGTTCATTAAGAAGTAAAAATCTCTCTCTCAGTTTTCCTTCCAATAGATCATTCAAAAGTTACCCGTATCATTATCAAACACATGAAGTCACATTCATCTGTAGTGACACTCGTGGAGCTCCTGATACAAGTTCTGGCTCTGAGAGAACGGCATAATTTTATAACCATATAAATCAGGGAAGTACTTTTCCCAGTGCTTTTCATACTATTCCTGCTACACCTCAAGCAAATTACATTCTTTTCAAGAGTAGCTCATAGAATAATTTTTCCAGAAAGCAATCAATAAAATCTCCCCTCATGCTCTTCCATCTCTCTCTGCTTTCCTGAGAAATAAAGCCACCAGCTGCGCTGGCACCTTTGATACATGACTTGAGTGAATTTTTCTGGACATACTCCCTCTCAAGCATATAAGTTGTAAAAATGTTGTTCTGCTGACCCTACACCATTGAGGTGGGTTCAACCATTCAGTAATCCTGGAGACAAACTGACTTCAATCTTGCAATGAAAGGAAACCAGCCCAGCTGGAAACCTAAAAATGTATGACAAAGGTCACACTGACTATTCAGAAAGAGCAAAAAAATTTCACCAAAGTTAAGCAGTGTTTTCTCTAAATTAATAATAAAAACTGCATTATCGCTACACAACAAATAGAGATGCAACAAAGCCTCTTCAGGCTTTAGGAGACTACATATATTTTTATTCCTGAATTTACTAATTATATTATGTATTTTTAAAATACTCTATATTCACATCAAATTATTAACCTATCAATTATTTTAAAATAAGGCATAGATACATGTACAATAATTTCCTCAGGGGTACGCCAAATTATATAATTCACCTATTTCTAGTCATAAGCAGTGATAAAGACTTGTAATGACAAGTAGTATTTTATCACTGGTTATGGTTAACATACCATTTTGTGCTAAAGTAAGGATACATTTCATTTTTCTCCTACTCCTTAACATAAAATGGCAATGATCTTAATTTAACTTAGAAGTAAAACAAGAGCTAATTCAGCTACAAGAAAAGTAAGTCTAGTTATGTAAGCCTTGGGATGAAACTTCCCTGCAAATGAAACATTTGAAATGAAAATCAGCCTGTTACACTTGCCTTTATGCTGGGCCTAGAAGCAATGCAGTTACAGCTCATCCATTCAATCAGTTCTGATTTCCAGAGCTTTTTTTCCAGAGGGATGTTTAAATGAGATACCTAAATGTATTTTATGCCAAACAGTCCAAGTATTAACAGAACTGACTTTGGGTCTTATACCTAAGAATAATTACAGAAATCATTTCATCTGTCATGTGAAGAACCCAGAATAAAATAAGCTGCCACAAAGCATTGTGTCATGTCACCATACACATACACACACACACACATTTTATACATGGAATATTGCAGTTGTTCATGTTGCCGTGGGATTTAGGTGCTGAAAAAATCTCCGGAGCAGTTAATTAGGGGTGAGATAAGAAAGGGTTTTATTTGCCAAGGCTAAGATGTTACAAGACGCGTGCGTACCCCTGTGCCCGAGAGGTTACATTTTATAACATCATCCATCCAATCCCAGATGTATCCACCCTGTGGCCTTTCCTCTGGACCGCCCCGGGGTCCACTCCCTGAAAATGAGTCTGGGGTGCATTTCGGGACCCTCCATTCATCCCATCTTCATCATCATCAGAGCACAAAGGGTACATAGTTATCTAATTCTTGACTTCATTCTGTGGTTTAGGCCCAGATATGCTGTTCTGTCAACTGTCTAGGCCTAACCTTGACAAAAGACTAAACATTTCTATTGGATTCAGGAGTAGGGTTGATATGGGGAGCATAGAATGGGGTAAGAGGGTTAAGGAATGTGTAAACAAGGGTGCTACAGGGAAAAGGGAAAGGAACAAGGGCAAAGAAGAGAGGGTTTCTACTTTCACTGCTTATAAAACTTACAAGTCTTACAAATATTAAAAGAAATAAAAAAACATTAGGGGCTTAAGGCATCATTCGCTTTCCCTCCTACAGGGACACAGTCTAAGGTGGCAGCCTTCCTTGGGGAATATGCTATCATTAGATTTCCCATTAGGGCCTCTTCCGTGGAGAAAGGTTTTTCCTGTATCACAGGTTAAATCATGCTAATTTCAAACTAGAGGCAGCCACATCAAATTGATTTTTAGAAGCTGAAGAGAGGTAAGGTGGATGATGTGAGAGGAAGCAGCAATGTGTGTTTTCAAAATCGTGCTTGCATATTCTGTGTTTCAGAAGCCCTTGAGATTTGCATTGCTCTGTTTACCTCAGGTCTACTAATTCCCACTCTCATACCCACTGGCAGAACATCACCAACAGCACTAGATTTCTGTGTTGTAAGCAGAGCTATGGCTCCTTTTTGAACTTTTTGTCACTGTTTCCTAGAATTAATCCGAAAGTATAAATATCAGACAGCTGTTATATCTTTGAGCCTGACAGATAATAATTTCTCCAAACTGAACTGAGAAAGTATAACTAATACAAATAATAATAAGGTATCTCTGACAACAGGAAGAGTCATCCTAAGAGTCCCATTTCACCTACGGGAAAATGAAAACCTCATTAGATATCAGAAGACCATCTGAAGAAAGATTTGGGACCTTCATTCAAGAAAAGACAAAACTAGATTTAGGAAGTGTCAGATTCTGAGGTGTGAAGCAGTCAGGGATGCTGTCATCGCTGGGAAGATGCAGAGTGAGCTACTCCTGCTCGTCATGGATAGACTACTGTACATTCCAAGGAAAGCAAGTGGTGGGGGCAAGCAAGAAAAGAGTGGGGGCCCTCTGAAAGACTGTGAGATTTTTAGAATTTGCTGTCTCAGATAGGATGGCTATACTCATACAAAGAATTGAAAAAATCAGTCTTACTAAAGTATTTCTGCATAGTTTAAAATTACCCTCTTTTAACCTAGCTTATATAAATACATGCATTTGTGTGTAGATATACATATCGATTATATACTGGATCTCATCTTACAGCTTGAAAAGCTACCGTGTGAACTATGTTCATCAGAAAACTGCAGGCTAGCTATTAGGCAACCATCTATTGCTGTTTAACTAATGAAGATTTATGCAAGCCAAAAAAGTTCAAAAACCACCTTCGTAATTCTTCAGGAAGAAAATACATAGTGATTTTTTTTTGTTCTTGCTTTTTTTTTTCAAAAGCTAGAAATAGGAAAAATGACAAATCAAGGAAAAAAAAAAAAGTGTAAAATTCGTCTTCCACCTACTAAAGCACACAATGCACCACCTTCCACAGTATCCAAGATGGGAAAAGGTTATTTCTCAAGCATCCAAACATATTTAACCATTAATCTCTCCCTCTACCTCTCCAAAACAATTCCCAAGCAATTACATTTTTTTTTCCAATTTTTTGAAAGCCATTCCTCCCTTTCCTTAGGAAAGCTGGAAAATTCATATAACCTATTACCACTAAGGAGCATGCCTTGCTCTAGAGTTGGGATCATAGGTCTTCTTGTCCTGTTATCTGTTAGTTTAACAACCCTACAGCCATGAAAAAAATTTCACAAACTCTACAAACTCCACTACATTACACAGAGAAGTGGAAAACCATGAGAATTATGTTG